TCCCAGCAGCAGGAGCCCTTGCTGTGCCCCAGCTACCAGTCCTACTTCAAGACCATCGAGGAGCTCCAGCAGAAGGTGAGGGGGTGGGCGACACACTGCCAGTTTAATGAGCTATTTATCTATATTTAACATACTAACCTGTGAATGGACCCAAGTCTGTTGACAGTAACGTTGAGAAGGATAAAGACGTAGATTCATTGGCTTAGGTAAGACATCAAGTAGTCTTAGAAAATCTGTTGTAGAGCCACAAGGGAAGGATACAGGCTGGTGTTAGACTAAAGCATTTTACCAAAATCAGTCATAGCAATCTTACATGGCTTCTTACCCCAAACCAGAATATCTGATTTTTTAGTTTGATTATGATATCCTGGTTTTGTTTTCAGAGCGTTATAACAATTTTACAAAGTATACACCTGAATTATTTTCTATTCTAAGAATTTTCGAAGTAAATCTTCAAATATTTAAAGCCTTTCAAAGCTTTAGCAAAAGATAGCATTTATAACAACACGAGACAGTCGTTGACTCCAAAAGTATCTGCAGACACATGGACCATCCTCTAGAGTATCCATGTATACAGATGACAGTTTGGGGCCATATATTCTGGAGGAGAAGTGGAGAGAAGTAAAGAGCCCACAGAGAAGTCGGATGGAATACCTGATGTAGGTTTGGGAGGGAATACCGGAAGAGGCAATATCTGAACGGGGTTTGAAGGATGAGTGGAAGTTTATATCCAATCGTATAAGCCCTTGATTCTTGGAGGAAATTGACTAACCACTGTTCTGTAGGTCTGGAAAAGCAGATGCCAGAAAGGGATTGTGCTATTTGAATATCATTTATTTATTTACCCAGAGTTGGAGAGTATTAGGCACAGTGCTGGGGTGGGGGATAAAGCACTGAGTAAGACGGTCTCTTTCCTTCAGGAGCTCACAGTCTAGCAGGGGAGTCAGATGTGGACACGAAATGATCACACAAAGGTCATGAGAAGTGTTATTGAATAAGTATGTGGGTTAAACACATACTGAGGTCTTGCTAGTGGGTGAGGGCATTCTGGGTGGAGCAAGAAACTTTTTGCAAAGGCAAAAAGTATGAGTGAGTATGTGGGGTTATACAGGTACTGAGGTCTTGCTAGTGGGTGAGGGTGTTCTGGGTAGAACAAGAAGCTTTTTGCAAAGGCATGAACATGGGCAATGTGAGGGGAGAGTGGAGAGAAGTCAACAGTTGGATCAGAGGTGGTATGAGTGTTGGATAACTGCCTTGTTCTGGTTTGCCTGGGATTCTTCCCATTTTAGCATCCTAGGAAAACCTCAGTCCTAAGAAAACTGGGATGTTTGGTCACGCAACATGAGGGTTGGATACCCAGTAGTAACCTCAAATATTGCAGGAAGCCAGAAACAGATAATTCATGATGAATTCACATTGGCTGTCCTGGTTTTGAAATGGTCAGTTTTATGATCAAATCCTCCTTTTATCCCAGAGCTGAAAATCTGAAAGGCCTCAAAGCTATTTGGAGGAATGTGGCTGAAAGAAAACAGCATTTCACTTTAAGGCACAAGGCATTTCTTAGTATAACCCATTTCATGATCAATCCTATCCCCAGATCCTGTGTAGCAAGTCTGAGAATGCCAGGCTGGTGGTGCAGATCGACAATGCCAAGCTGGCTACAGATGACTTCAGAACAAAGTAAGATTTTCCTAACCATCAAAGCAGTCTAGTAATGGGACAGGCTGAATTGCAAAGTGATGAGCTCCATATCCTGGGAGCGTGCAAGCAGAAGCTTCTGGATGATATTGGGAAGATTCTTGCATTAGGTTAGGGTTAGGTTAAATGTCAAAGTCTCCTCAATGGGTGCTCAGATTCTGTGTTTTAAGTTTTTTTTTTTTTTTGAAATGGAGTCTCCCTCTGTCACCCAGGCCGGAGTGCAGTGATGCGATCTTGGCTCATTGCAACCTCTGCCTCCTGGGTTCAAGCGATTCTTCTGTCTCAGCCTCCCTAGTAGCTGGGATTACAGGCACGTGCCACCATGCCCAGCTAATTTTTGTATTTTTAATAGAGATGGAGTTTCATGTTGGCCAGGCTGGTCCTGAACTCCTGACCTTAAGTGACCCACCTGTTTCGGCCTCCCAAAGTGCAGGGATTACAGGTGTGAGCCCTGTGTTTACCCTGTGATTACTGCACTCAGCCCTGTGTTTTCAGTTTGATTGTAAGACGCCATCCATTCTTACTCCTTTCAATTCCAGGAGATTTTCACATTGTTCTCTTTGTATACGTTAGTCACCGTCAACCCACCAAAAAGAAGTTACTAAACCACAAAAATGGGAGGCAAAATCCATTGCCTTTCAGAGAATCAATCAATACTTTTAGGTCTATTATTACAATCATGAGAATTCTTGGCATTTTCCTGGAACCTTACAGCTTACAATATAATTTTACCTATACCTTCTTCAGTCCATTTTACAGATGAGGAAATCAAGGCTCAGAGAGATTAGGGTATCTGTGTACAGCCATTTAATGGCAAGACTGCCTCTAACTGACTCTGAATTCAGTGTTTCTTCAACAGCACTAGATTGCCTCTTGGCATGGCTGGAAAGGATGGGAGGACAGCCTAGAGCAGACTTACGAAGGGCATCGATTCACTTGAGATGGCAAAAACAGTGGGGCTTAGCTGATAGCAACTTGTAAATGAGATTCTTAGAACAAACGTAGTTCGTGTTAGACTAACCTATACATGGGAATCCCACCAATACCTTTTCTGTGCATCTTAGTGACAAAATAGGCCTTCTCACTCAGCACAGAGGTATTTTCTCCCTTAAATTTTTTAAAATTCGAAATATTTCAAAGGAGAATGAAATTGACTATGTCAGCCACGTAAAGGCCAGGAAACAAAGTCTTTTTTTTTTTTGACCTCTTTTGATCTCTGGCTGTGTGTGCAGGTACCAGACTGAGCTGTCCCTGCGGCAGCTGGTGGAGTCAGACATCAACAGCCTGCGCAGGATTCTGGATGAGCTGACCCTGTGCAGGTCTGACCTGGAGGCCCAGGTGGAGTCCCTGAAGGAGGAGCTGCTTTCCCTCAAGCAGAACCATGAGCAGGTGAGAGTCCCAGCCCCCACTATCCCAACACTGAGAGCTCCATGACCCGCCTGTGTAGGATAAGGTAGGTCTTGATTTGCTAAGCACCCTAGACCTAACAACATTTTGCTGGTTGCTCAAAATGTACTTTGGGGTTTGTTGGGGAATGAATGGTGCTTACCTCTTTTACATAAAGGAGTGTAGTAAGCTGACCTATTTCCCCTTGAGGCCAAATACGTGTGGCTGAAAGATCACACAAATATCTTTAAACTACTGTCTACTGTTTGATGCGATCCATTAGCTTCTGAAGAGGTGCCACGTTAATGACAGAGACTGGAAGGAGATAGAAAACATTCTTATAGTCTGTTTCACCTAGATAACTAGAACTCAGTCTGGATAAACGGATGGATGGATGAGTGGATGGATGGATGAACTGATGGATGGGAAAAATGGGAGAAATGAAATAACTCAAATAATGGTTGATTCAGATCTCATGGTTGAATGCAATACTAGGAAATCAGATGCATGTCTCAAATATTAGATGTTTTCATAATGAAAACACGTGTCATACTCTAATAGTATCCCATGAAATAAATAGGAATTAAACTTGGTTTCTCTATATTTAAGTAGCAACAATTATAAGCTGATTATCATGTCAGGCTTTTCACTGAGCAAAGGGGAAATAAGAAAGAAATGATAGAATCTTGGATTGGGTAGAAATACTAGCAATCATTTAATGAAGCAGACTTATCCTATACAGATGAGAGAAGAAATTCAGAGAAGAGGCCATAAATTTCAGAGGTGACAACTGGGCTTTAATGCATGTTTCCTAATCTGTAATGCAATTTTCTTCCCATTATATTGAACTGCCTCAAAGTTATTTATAGACTTCTTTCTGTGAGTTTATTTCTTACCTTTTCTTCATTAGGAGGTCAACACCCTGCGCTGCCAGCTTGGAGACCGCTTCAATGTGGAGGTGGACGCTGCCCCTGCTGTGGACCTGAACCAGGTCCTGAACCAGACCAGGAGTCAGTATGAGGCCCTGGTGGACACCAACCGC